GTGGTTTTTAGATAATCGATTCCCAAATTCCCCTTCACTCGAAAAAAAGTAAGGGATTTTTGAGAAATGAAAATATGCCATAAACTATTAAAGAAGAGAAGTAGGAGAGGGGGCGGATTTCTCGAAAGCCTAAAAACAGAATTCTAATAACGGTACTTTTTAAAAACTTAGCCTCATTCCACGAAATAAATGTCCAAATTTTGGACAAATAGCATTATAACGGTAAATAATGTCCATACATCCTTATTTGATTTTCAATTCTACTTGATCGTTTCACCGGTTTTAAGAGGTCTTTAAAATCTAAAAAATATTATACAAAAATTTAAATCTTTAGTAGTATTATTCTTGTACTTGCATGTAACATCAGTGGCGGTATTAAGTTCAAAACCTGTTTTTAGGCTCAGGTTTAAGATTAATATTTACAAAATTATTGATTTTTGACAAAACAAAGTTGTAATGTTGCATTAGAAAGTTGCAATTTTTAATCACTCTGTACGATGTTTAAACGAAAACCTTAATACGAACTGTCATGTAAAGTGAAAGAAAAAACTTGGATAAATCTCTACCGCATTGAAAATTTTTCAATTGTTTACAAGACTTTTCCATATACATTTTTTTTTTTATTTTTATTTTTATATTTTGTTTATAATAATTTTGGAAACATGATATTTCTACTTACACGCTTGTTGTTTTTTAAGTTTACAATTTTTTTTTTTGTATTTTGATACTTGTGTAGAGAAAAAAATCATAGAGAAAAAAAAAACTTTTTTCCTGTCGCTTTTACCGCGCGCGTCATCCGATTTTGTCATCGTCTTCCATTTTCCTTTCATACTTGCTTATTTTTTACAATATTATTTTTTTTTTAGATTAAAATATTAATTTTAGAGTCATCAACCTTTTTCTCATTAGAAAACTTTTGTTTTCAAACTATTAAGAGAAAGAAGGAAAATTGAAACAGAATTTTCCTATTATTATTATTTTTCTCTATTTTTTTTTTCGTTCTTTTGATGTTTTTCTTCCTTTTCATTCATAATTTTATCTTTAAAATAAAAAGAGTAAAGACAAAATAACAATAAAATGACTAAAAAAAAAAGAAAATTCTTTGGTTGCCTTTTATTCTCTTCTTTCTCTTCTTATATCTCACATAATGATTTTGATTTACCACCACATGGTGTTTTGATATATGTGTGTGTTTGTTCATACTCTTAATTTTTCATTTATCCTCACTTATTATTGTAAACGAAGCCTTATACTAGAATACTAGAATAGCTATTATACTAGAATGCTAATATTTAATATAAGCAACATAAGAAGTTACTACATTCTATAATAGTGATAGTTAAATGTCATATTAATATGTTGCTATACATAATTATTGCTACCTATGCGTGTGTAGAAGCACTTTAGATTTTGTATTAAGAAGGTACTACATATAGTAATTTTACGTAAGTGAGGAAGTATGTACCTATAAGAAAAATTTATAGAATTTTTACTAAAATTTTATTTTTTTCGGTTTTTTGAATTAGGTTTTTGACTCGTATTTTTTTATTATTATATTTTGATTTTGAATTTATTTTTATATTTTTGGTATGATAATAATAAATATTATTCTTTGTATTTTATGTTGATGATTGGTTTGTTATGTTCATTGATGAAGTAGATTATTATGGAATGTAGATGATTTCTCAAACTGTAAATAAAAAAAAAAACAAAATTTAGTTGAGAGAAATGCAAAAATAGCAAATTAATTTATGGAAATGGAGAGAAATATGGAACACTGTGCAGAGAACTCACGGAATAATGAAACATTCCGAAGACTTTGAAAATAATATTTGAATAATCAGTAGAATATAGGTTGCCACTGTTCATAACGCAAGTTGAACTTGAACGAGCCTTTGACACTATAAAACCGTAGTAAAAAGCATGAAAAGCTCTTCCCTTCCTTACTGTTTGGTGTGGTTTTTAACGAAGACAAAAAGTTCTGAAAGGTATAATATAATACAACATAAGGAGCCCGTATTGGATATCTGAAATATGCAAATAACCTTGCTCTTTTAGCTAACAAACAAGCAAATGTGTACAAAAAATTATTCATATTCACATAAGGAGTACGCAAGAGTGATGTGAACATTCCCATATATTACAAAAAAAATGACAAGCTTTGAACCATTGAATTGGAACCCCCAATGAAAAATAGGCATTCGGAAATACTGTTCATTATTACCGTTTAAATGTTTTCCGTATCAAAATTAAAATACCAAGAGAAAAAATACGAGAATTCTTGTTTTCATCTACATTAGAACTCTTTAAAGTTGAATTTTTTGTGCAATGTGTTTGAAGTGTTAAAGGTATTTTTTCTGTTTTGTTCTCTTGTTCTAAATATGAATGAATTTTATTATTAATTTGTATATATTTTTTGTCATTATTATAATTATTAAGGAAAAAAACAGAACATTTCATATTCACTCATTTGTTTGTTCATTCATTCTCTTATTTATTTGTTGAAATAATTATAAAATGAATAAAAGTGAAGGAAAAAATTTTTATATTTGGAATATATTAATTGTAAATGCGTATGTTATAAAAATATCGAAAAATGTACGAATATCGTATATTTTTCATTAAGTTAGGAAGTTTCCCAGAATGTCATTTGCACACAATTCGTAAAAGTTATAAAAACAGGCCACTCAGACAGCATTTTGACCTTACTGGGTCATGCGGGGTAGTGACACAGTAGACTATCTCTTTCCTAGGTGCTCGTGCGATCAGAATATTAATTTGAATAATAAAACAATCGAAGAACAACAATCAAGTAGGACAAAACAACTACAACAAAACGAAGCAACATCTTTAGGCGGGCAGAATTTGAAGAAAGTCGGTACGAGTTTGCTAGTGGAATTGATACTAATCTCCGTGAAGAAACTCGCAGAACTAGGCGAGGTTACTGGAGTATGCCCTCCACTTCATCACGCATCGGCGCATCAGAGGTGATCTAACGGGTTTCTTAAATAAACGCCAACATCTGTAAGAGTTATTAAGTGATTTTCATTAAATTTTCTCATATTATTAATTGAAATGTTCGCAATAAAATATATCATACCAAACTTATAAGATACTTAAACCTTAAATACTTCTTAATCTATACAAAATATACATTTTCTCATACTTACATAAATAGTTACAATATAAGTATGTTATTCTTACTCTCTTGATGCTCAATGAATTTCTTCTTCATTGCAGATAAGAAAAAAAAATATCAGGCATCATAATTAGTATTTTATAAATAAGTATGTAATAAACTACATCCGGTTTGAAAATAATAAAAAAAAAAATATTTTAAAAATCTTATGTTAATGGGAAAAAGGACTATTAAATTACACTTCCATAATTATGTTATATAAGTATAAGAAAAATCAATGATCAGCTGAATATTTCTTTGTTCTCTCGTTATTAGTTACACAAATCGGATATAATTAGTGTAAGAAGCATGAAACAAAAAAAAAAACAAGTTTAAAATAAAACCAACACTTATGTAGGCACATCAACTGATAATAAACAATGAAATTATGTGTTTCACAAAAATTTATAACAACGTGCACATAAGTGGATAAGTGAATAAGATTTGATGCACGCTTAATTTTTAAAAATATCAATTCCGTTCGGTATCAAAGAAAAAGTTAACAGGCGGAGGGGGAAGCACTGAGGATGAAATTAAAACTAATTTTAAAATTGAATGCTGCTGGAACATTATAGAATAAATGAATAAATTTTATTGGAAGCTCACGATTATTGAGGCTCAATTTTCAAAAATGAGGTCATACATAAGAGTGCTACCCATATAAGTTCAATGGAATTTTGTCGACTATCTTTAGAAGTGTTAGCTGCAAAAATCAATTTCAGTTATTGAATTGTTCCGCTGTCACGTCATAGTACCGGTCATTTAGTTTGAAAATTTTTATATTTTTGCTTTTATAAATCCTTGCACTGTCTATTGTTTGATCACTTTTTACATATTTCCAGTCACAAATGCATATGTAATATCAATATGTTCACAGGCATACAAGATTTTTATTGAAGCTGTAAATATAAAGAACAAATTTAAAGAACAATACTTTAAATAGTTGCGACATTATTGAAATACTTACTGTATATATTACTACATATAGATTCTTTAAAGTTTTTTGTTCCATAATGTATAACATAAGAAAATCAATGCATCTTACATAATGCATATTAACATAATTAAACATCAGTTAGCTAAAATCCCCACTTATACGTGGTATACTTAAAATTTGTAAAGAAGAAAAAAGAGTTTATAGCTTATAAATTTTAATATATTTGTATAACAAATGCTTAATAACATCCTTTATTTTTAACACTCCATTGATAACTAAATATAATACACTAAACATATGTGACACCAATATAACAGAAAGGAAATAAATACCCTTTTTCAAACTGATATTTCTAAAGAAATTTTGTGACTATATGGAAAAAATATAATTTTGCTTAATAATGCACACTTTATAGCCATAAGAAATCTTTTGATTAATTTTACAGTACAATTTTTTTTTGTTAACTTAAATTTCCTGGTTCTTTAATCTAACACTTTGAAGTTCTGATTTTTTTTATCTATGTAGTAAATTCTTTTGAAATACAAGTAAGGCACGTTTAAATTGTAACTTTAAACTCATTAACAACATTATTAATAAAAATAAAGCATAACAGATGAGATTTAATCAGACAAAGATAAACAGGAAGTGCAATATTATCCTTTGATAAAAAAAAAATAAAATTCTTAACCTTAATATTGAAGTATATGCGTTTTTTTTATCTGCCTCTAAATCAGTGGTTAAAATATTAAAATTGTATTTATGAATCGATTAATTTCTTTATGTTAATAGGGTTATGTAGTCTAGTGTCTGCGTAACTTGTAAAAACAGTGTTGCTGTTTTCAATCAAAAATTTTAATTTTTTAATATTTGTTTTTTTAATTTCAGATGTCGCTCTTGTTTCAATTGTAATAAAATGGCTCTATATTTGTGTAAGTTAATTTTATTTTTAAATTAAATACTATGAGAGTAAAATTAGTTTAATGCAATATTTTTAAATGTAAGTCAAATATTCGTTGTAGGGAATCTGATATGAATTAGTTGAGTTCGACCCGGTCATTTACTTCATCAAAACTGAATGACGCAATAAGATCATTTCGTACTACTTTCGGTTTGGAGGTTATACTTGGCCTGGACACGGTAAGTGAGTAGGTGAAAGGAGTGGCTGCGAGAAGTGCCTCCAAGCCTCCAAGCGATAGGTTTACTGAGGAGCAGAGATTTTGAGGGAACATGGGGTGTGCGCTAAGGACGTTAAGTCTAATTTTTTGTGGTTCCATATATCGACTGAGAGGTTGATTACGGGATTATGATTCAATAAAGGGGGGATTGGAGTGCTGTAGGGCTGAGCACGCATGAGGGTCTTATGTGGAAGAGGAAGGCATCTTAGGGGTTTTTCCATGATGACTTAGAGGATCTGTGGGGGGGAGTCTTTGGCGCAGCTTTTGAGATTCGTCAAGGAGCTTAATTGGTTGCGGTAGATGGTGTTTAGGATTGTACTACGTGGGGGATGTATAGTGTTAATTTGAGGATTGTTCCCCTCTCTTACTAGTACTAAACTACTCCGCATATATGGCGGTGTTCTTCCCATATTAATAAACAAATATATATGTAAATGTATAAAATTTCTTGACCCTAATAAATTAATCACTCCATATACTTAATTTACCTTGTGATTTCTGAACCTTTTATAATAAAATCAATAACTCTTTTGATTTGTAAAATTTCATAAAGTGTCCAAAGATCGTATTCATTTCTCAATAATTTCTACAGGACAGAAAACCATTCACTATACAATATTACATACGTAGGTACCTTAAATTTCTTTAGAAATTAATTGTATCGAAATTATTCATGAACGCACGGTCAACCTTTAAAAAGAAATTCTTTACATGCATAATTTATAGGTTCTTCTATCTAAATTTATCAAATCCGCACCAATATCCGTACGTCTTAATAAATAATTTATATTATAAAGAAATTAAGGTTTCCTTCAATATATTTTAATTAAAAATTTTAAATATTTTATTTTTAACATTGTTTTTTGATTTTGTTTTTTAAATTAAATTGAATTTTTATTATTTAAATTCTAAATTAATTTCAAGGTTTTCATTCCTACAATACTATATTACAAAATTTATAATAAAAAACAAAAAACTCTAGTGGCTCTTTTAGCACTTCACTCTGTAAAGTGGGTATCAAATTAATTTAAATTGAAAATTGTTTTTGTTATTGTTCTTTATTTCGGATCAATTATGTCCCCATTAACAATTTTTTCCTCTTATTTATTGTATTTTGTTGTCTTTTGAATTTTATATGTGTTATAAAAGACTATTTTACATATTATTATTATTACAAAATATAAATCTGACATTAAGAATAAAAAACAATATTAAAATCCTACTTTAGTCTCATCAAAACATAAACTACATATATTCATAAATATCTTTTAGTTTTATACTTTAAATGGAAGAATACACGACCAAATTGCTTAAATAAATTTAAATTATAATGCATATATGTATGCAATTTTTTTCTTCTTCATAAAACACTTATAGCACATATTCAAAGGTACCTTCTTATATATATGTGTACACATAATGCATAAATTGTAGTATGTTTATTACATTATATATATTCAAACACTTGAATGTATAACATAAGAATAGCAGTGCTTATCGCGACGCACTAATATATAGCCAGTGGCATTCAATTACATTTGTACATGAAATGTAATTGAATAGGCAGAAAAAATAAAATTTAATATTTATATTTTTTTTTTTATTTTTCTTTTTTTGTTTTAATATTAAGAATTAAACAAATGTCACGGACATGTCAGTATAATAAAAAGAAATAAGTGCATCATGTTAAAATATCATAAAGGCGACTTAACAAGAAAATTAAGGAAGATCAAGTTAATTAATAAAAGAATTGAAAAAAAAATTAGTTTTTTAAAAAAGTTCACTTCCTTAAAAAGAAAAATTTAACACTTTAGTTTATGAAATTTTTTATGTACTCGTATTTATATAAAAGTACTTAGGAGAGGGGAAATACCGGGAAAGTTTTATATCACGACGGACTTTGCTTTTATCTTGAGTGCCCTGGAATGTCAGTCTTCTGGAGCACACAAGATGCTCGAACGGACACATCTAGACTAAGTGCTACAAGCAAATTCAATTTTTGAATTTCTGTTATTGCTACAATATTTAATGTAGTTCCCGATATAAATGAACTGCTTCAAAAAAAATTTGAATAAAATATCTAAGTAAACACACACTAGTGTTACTAACAAGTCTTTTATGTCGAACGTCTTATTTCAGCCTTTCTTAAGTAGTGGAACTTATTTTATTTTACTCTCTTTAGTTTCGATATTTTAATTATGTTTATTCCAACATTCCCCCTTTTCGATAGTTTGATCTTTTTTGATATTTGGAACAATTGTGGCAACGACACCTATTGTAAAATAGAGTAACCATTCGAAGACAGTGGCTTTTTTTTTATGAAACTACGATAATTTCTTTTTTAATAAATTTCGAATTAATTATGAAGGAGCAGTTGTGATGCACCAATGTTTTATTGGTTTGGTAACAAAAATAATCTATAATTATTTTACAAAACAATTTTTAATTAAATTTTATATGTTATAGAACCTATCCTATATAAGATATTTTAATTATTCTTTAAATAAAATTGTTTAAAATATTGTACACAAAATTTGAAAATGGTTTATGATTTTTTTATGTTTTTATTAAATTAATTACGATTATAAAATAAGCAACATACATTAATAACCTAGATAAAAATTAATTACTATAAAAATAAAATATATAAATTTGTTACATAAATTTAAATTACTTTATTCTTAGAGCTTTTTTTTGACTCATGACACACGGTTCTATAGGAAATTTCTAAATTTGTAAAGTTTTGCAGGTTAATTGAGTGCAATTTTATTTTACTATTTTATTTTTTTTTTTCATAATAAATGTATTGAAAAAATATTCTCTTCTCATATTTTTAATTGAAAAAAAAATAGGTACACGTAATTTTTATTTTTGTTAGTAAAGTTACTACTTTATTTTTTTCCCATTCTATTTCTCAGTATTCTTTTATAAAATTTTAAAAATAATTTTTTTGTAATGAAAATGAATGCAGATAAATTTCATATTTTTAAGTTAACTGACTATCAATTCTTTATAATTTTTATTTACATATATTTTTGTTATAATTTTTCTAAGTCAAATGCATACTGTGAGTCAGGTATCTGTGAACTAACGCCGTTTTGGTAAGAATCGGCTTCTGTAGCTGTTTTATTCTACCTATCAAAAATTTCAACTTTTCAAGCACTAAGTTTATTTTTATATGATAAAATAGCTGTTAAAATCTAGAAAAAATAAAAATTTTAATGTACTTTCAAACTCTCCAACTTTCTACAACTTTAATACTAAAATAACTTTATTAATTCTTCTTCAAAAAGATTCTCCAATACTACTCTCCAATAGTGATCCCCCAATCTCTCCAATAGTACTCTCCAATGCTCCCGAATAGTAGTTTTCAAAGCTCTCCAATAGTACTCTCCAAGGATACCTTTTTCAATTGCTTTTTAATATTGCGATTGACAGGTACATACACATACTTGGTAAATGTAAAAATATTTATTCCTTCACAATCTTTCTAAGATTTTTAAACCGGCCCATAGTCAAATAAAAGTAGTATACCTCTGCTCTAAATAGTACTTAGTATAACCGGCATTGCCTTAGTAGCAATATATGTTTATTTTTACTTTATTCTAAATTATCTAAATATGTAATAAGTATAATTAATGTGCCATTATGAAAGAAAAGTAAAATTCCCTTACATATTCCACGTTTCGTTTCTAAATTGCACAATTTATATTTTTATATTAAAAAATTTTAACCCAGAAACTGACAATTTTTTTTTCTACACAATTTGTTTTTTTCATTCTTTTTATATATATGTACATACACAATTTTTTTTTATAATAATAAAAGCAACAAAGTAAATAAATTATACCATCTACTTTCATATCGCATATACGATTATACTGAGTGATGCATTTTCCAAAACAGAAAAAAAAACCATTAAACTTACATACTAATTTTATGATCTCAAATTCTATAAAGAGCTACATAACGTATGTGTTTATTATTATTTGGTATACAAATTTTTAAAATGGAAAAATCACAAGATAAAAACTGTGTCAGCTCAGCTGTTGTTTTCTTCTTTAATTATTTCACACTCATCCACAATTCCACACAAACAATATACCTACATACACATAAACATCTCACAATATAATGTAAACGAAATTAATGTATGAATTTAAGTTGAAATGAAAACTTATTAAAAAATTGTATAGAATTAGCTTACCTGCTTGGCATATGCACATTGAATAATAATAAAAAAAAAAACAAAAATAATTATAATAATCCGCAAAAATATATTCAAATCAAACTTGAATACGAAATTAATTGAAACTGCTCTGTTTTTGTTTGATGCTGTTGCTGCTTAATTTAACAAACACATACTTATAGACAATTGAATTGTTATTGCATTTCCGACCTCTTCATCTTCACGATAATTATATTGAATCAAGATCTGTTTACAAAAATACAATGCATGAACAATGAAAAAAGAAAGAAAAAACAATCATTCAATTAATAAAATAATAAAAAAATGCAGTATATAACAAAATAAGTTATGCTTACTTACTGTGAGGTCTACTGGAAGTTTGTTAATATAATATTAATCGTATATTTTCCAAGTACTTGCAAATAATATCTGTTTTGTTCGATATAGTCCTTAAACAACAACATTATTTGAAAGAATAACGTGGCACTTATTATGTATAACAAAATGTGAGTGTTATACGTATAACAAAATTATTCAACCAATTAGCTTACTTTTAGGTTAGGTA